TTAACCCATTCGCCCCTGAACCGCCCGTAACCGCCCGTGCGGATCCAGGTCCTTTCTACCCATTGTGACGTCATCAGTTTTAACGGTCAAGGACAACTTTCTTCACTAACTTGTGCAGAGTGAAGAGATCTTTCAAACCATACCAGAATGAGCACAATTCAGTCAAGGACACCGGAGAAACAAGCAAAAAACCATGTGACATTGACCTGAAAATCTCCATGAAAATCTTGTTCCATTGCTCACCTACCTTTTCTTTCGCCTAATCCTAAGATCCTAAAAGCTTTCCTAAAAACTCTTCCCACCAAAATCAAGCCTACTAAATGCCCAGCAAGAGAAAAAAAAAATGAGGCAAGAAAAGAAAAAAAAGAAGGGAGGAGAGAAAGCGAAAAGTAGAAGACAAAACAGCTGTGTCACTTTTAAACCCAAAAACTGTAGAAATTGTGCTTTCTGCGCATGCCCGAACTTCGCAAGCTGATATTTTGCATCTGGATCAGAAGGCCGCGAAGTGTTCGACCTGTAGACCAGTTTGTGGTAAGTTTTAGCTCTTTATAGCGCAACAGTGACCAGAAAACCACTCGACTAGCTTCAAAACGCGTTTTTCGGCAAAATCTCCAGGAGCGAATGGGTTAATTGCTAACAAAGGAAAAAAGGCGAACAATAAAACCATCAATCTTAAAAGTCTTGGGAAATAAGCAAGTTATTGCGCACAATCACAATTGAAGCCAAAAGTCTTTCAGGTCTTGTACAAGACAATATAACGATTCAAGGATAACAATGTATTCTCTCTCAGTCCAGGTTAGCAAGATGAAGCGAATGAAAAATAAGAAGAAACAAGACGAAAAAGAAACTGACATGACGTTAGCATTCAGACTGTTCGACGCCAACCAAAAGGGGTACATCGAGTCAGCGGATCTACGCTACATTATATTAAATATGGACAATAGAATACCACGTGATGAGTTGAACGAGTTGATTACAAGCGCCAAGCTTGATCAAGATAGAAGAGTAACCTATGAAGGTGAAAATTAAGTATTCAGTTCATCGTGTTAACATTTAAAAATTCTTGTCTTTGAAACAGAACATCTTCTTGAAATATTAAAGCGATCGAAACTCTGCAAGAGGGCGGTTCAACAGAGTGGACACTTACTAAATCATCGCCCCAACAACTTTAAAACAATGCGGAAACCTCTCAAGAGACCATTTTTTCTTGTCCAAGCGTTCACTCACTGTAGCTAGCCTAGTTTCTGAGAGAATACAGCATGCGCAAAGTTAACTCTCTGTAAGCCTGACATCACTATCTATTTAATATAGATGTACTCCGATTAAGAAACAGAACTGACTCATCAATCAATAACCAGGTGACATTTGACCGACATTATGTTTGTTCTGCAGAATTTCTTGTTCTTTTCGAGTCACTTGAAGAGGAATAACAACGAATCAAGGAAAAGTGTCCAACCTCAACACATTACAATTTGTATCCAGGCCCATTTACAGTGTACAGAAATACCCAATCAGAATGTCGCTGCAGAATGCCACAACAAAAACCAAACAACACGTGTAACGTGAACCACGAAAGCAGGCAGACAGTTTTTGAACTGGCTGGCATTAGACAGCATTGATATATTTTATATAAAATCAAAATTATTTTTGGTATGCAATGTAAAAAACCATTTTATTGGAACCCAGCCACCTGAATTTGTAAAAATTCAAGTTTGAACGTTTAAATAAAATATGTGAATATTCAAATAGAAAGCGAATGATTTTGAAAGAACAATCACCCCGCAAGGAAATCCCCTTTGAGAAAATCACGTTTTAAACACCTTTAAAAATGTTTCCGAAAATGTTCCCTTTTTTTAAGGTTATAGTATTTAGCATCAGGTTTTTTGTTGACTTTTGCTGCAATTAGGGACATAAAAAATGAGATTTTCATTCAGTTTCAAACCAAGAAACGCTTACTGAAGCAACTTGGCTTCTTTAGTTTGTAATTTACAAAAATGACGCTTTCTTTCCTGTCAGGACTCTGTGGAATATGAATTATTTTAAGATTATTGAGACAGTTTTTCGGCTCGTTTTCATCCTTTTCCTCGGGTTGAATGTTGCGCCCCTTACCGACAAAGTTCATAAATTATCAAACAAGGGGAGTGCAATTAAAGATTTGAGCGAACTCCATAGCAGATAAATTATTAAGTGTAACAATGCAGAGGTCAGTTTAGCCTATTAAATTTATCAAGGGGTGGACGTACAGCAAGATAGCAAAATTCATACTGGAGAATGAGTCATTAAAACTGAAAAAACTCGTAAAAGGTAAAGTTTAGTTTACAACAATGAGGAGCAAATTTGGTTCCTTTTTGTTGACGCTTAAAAAATAATACACTATGTCTTTTAATGCTATCAGTGATAAGCCACAGTACGAATGTTCCACTTATATTTATCATCAGTAAAACTGCGCCTTGGATAACTTCTTATTAATATCAAAGAACTTCCTGTTTTGCAAGTTAGGAATAATAACGAAGGCATTTATTGCCTAGTTTTCAGTGAATATTTTCATTAAAATCTCGTTATAATGAGAGACCCGGTTCTACCTACGTGTCTATCAAGTCTCGGCAGGTCTGTAATTTGACTTATTGCTGCGATAAATAACATTAACCCTCTTCTTGATTATGCAATTGGCATAGCTAGAAGCCAGGTGCGTGCTTAAGGAGGTCTGATATTTACGTAATTCTCGGTGAAGAAGAAGTTTGACCACAGGGACTTCAAACTACAAGTATTCTTCAATAAGCCGGTATGAAGTATTTTTTATTAGAAATTTCTATTTCATAAGCACTGACATTGAAAGTATCTTTAAATATTTTGTTACACTAGGTCTTGTTTTTGCATATCAAATTTACGGTGGGGATAAAAGACATTAGCATGATGAAAACTGGCAATTTTTAAGCTCCCAACAGTACAACTTTCTTGCAGTAATACGGATATTAACAGAACAATGAATTGAGCATTTCAGAACAAAAATGACTTTTATCTTGACTTGACAACCAATTCAAATAAAACAGCAAATTTGTAATATACTTTGCAACAAAAAATATGTTGATTCACGCAAACTAAGACGAAAAAAGATATTTTGTCATCAGAGGAAGGCTCCTATTAACCTACCGTCTCTAAATCTTATATGTAATTTTGAAATTATCTTCTGAGTTTTAAAAACGTAATGAACGCAGCAGATGTTCACTAACAGGAACCAGTAGACCTGTTTTCATATGTCCAAGTAATTTACATNTGAAGTATTTTTTATTAGAAATTTCTATTTCATAAGCACTGACATTGAAAGTATCTTTAAATATTTTGTTACACTAGGTCTTGTTTTTGCATATCAAATTTACGGTGGGGATAAAAGACATTAGCATGATGAAAACTGGCAATTTTTAAGCTCCCAACAGTACAACTTTCTTGCAGTAATACGGATATTAACAGAACAATGAATTGAGCATTTCAGAACAAAAATGACTTTTATCTTGACTTGACAACCAATTCAAATAAAACAGCAAATTTGTAATATACTTTGCAACAAAAAATATGTTGATTCACGCAAACTAAGACGAAAAAAGATATTTTGTCATCAGAGGAAGGCTCCTATTAACCTACCGTCTCTAAATCTTATATGTAATTTTGAAATTATCTTCTGAGTTTTAAAAACGTAATGAACGCAGCAGATGTTCACTAACAGGAACCAGTAGACCTGTTTTCATATGTCCAAGTAATTTACATTATTCTTGTCCATAGAAAAGCATAAACACTTTATAAAAAAGAAAGAAAACGTTTATGGGGGTCATAAATATTTAGGACATTTTTTAAAAATTTGCAATTACTCTGATTTTCTCAGAGGCCAAAGAGATTTCGTGTTTTAATACAGTCATAAAAACCACGTTCGTTTAAAATTTAACGATGTTGGTGCACTAATGGATACAACTTAAAATCCCTGCCCTGATCCGCTCAGAAATCAGAAAATGTGACTTTTTAAGTACTGGCTCGTCCAGCGGAAATTTTTCGCAATGACTATTAGATCTAATTGCCAGTTTTGGGGTTCAAAACTCCTTTGGAAGTAACAAATGCAAATATTTTGAAAGTAACCCATGTCGTTGAAATAACCACCAGCTGATGCTAGTCGACATGAAAACTTCTTTATTTTTTACTGGCATTTTATTATTAATAGTTTGGTCTCAAGGAAGTAAAAATTTTGAATAAATCGAGGGACAATTTTTTTTGAAAAGATAAACTATAGTCTACCAATAGCTATGACCAGTACCAGTGCTGATAAGATTCTTTGAAAACTGATTTTTTTTATGTTATGTTGTTTTATATTCATATGGGCTTCACCATCAGGTTATTGAAATCTAAGCTTAATACAATTTGTTTTGTGCGCGTTACTGAGGTACGGTTTTGCTGATAAAGGTGACAGAAATAAGTTTTTCTACCTTAAGTCAAATACGATCTGCCTATAAATTGCTTTTTATTCATCGACAACGTTTTTCGTTCGACATTGAACAACGCTTGATACATTTCTAACGAACCAGGTAATTATCATTAACAGAGTTATAATAACAGGATGTTTATAATAATAGTAATAATAATAACAATAATAATAATGTATAATAATAATAATAACAGGAACAAACACAGCTCATCTTTCAATGCTTCATTGGCAGTTTGAAATGAGAGAAAATGGTAGAAAATCAACCTCAACGATATGAGTTCTGTGTTTGTCTCAAAATGTTTGACAGACTGATCCTTGAACGTTTAATAATTGTAAGGTTGGTCTGCATGTATTCCTGCTTAACACTCTGTTAATTTTAGTCATTGGGAGATAATTTCTCTGGAAAAATATTTACACTAAAATTTGGTTCCCGGCTCAACTAAGCAAATAAGATAAATTGGCCATTCGTCCCATGTCTAGACTAACTTTTTTTTAATTAGATTCGATTTTATTCGAGAAAAATAAGCAATTTCACGATTATTCTTGACTAGTAGTCTTTTGGCGAGCCTTGTGATTGGTTTAAAATCTTCGCGTCGTGTTCCCAGCCAACAATGAAAAACTAAAGAACCAAATAGTAGTGAATATCGCGGAGCTTAACTGACGTTATGAACAGTAACCCTTGAAGGATATCTTTAGATACATTTATGAATACTGCGTTCCTTATTTCAATTAAACAATGAAATGAACAAGCAATATCCTACAAATATATATATATTTTTAACCGATATAAATCACATATAACAATAAAGCATGGTTTATTGCTTTCCATAAGCTGTACCTCAGCGGTCTAGTCAATAGGAAATACTAATTTTAACGGGCACTTTAACATGACTAAACACAGCCTTTGCTTTTTCTGCGCAGTGAACTGTGAAGAACTTCAAAGTTGAAATGGCTTTCTCATTATTTGCGGCAAGATGGCTTATGTTAATTCTTCTGCTACCAATTCGTGTTTCCCTCAGGT